GTTAAAATATATATATATATATATATATATATTGAAATTTAGGTTGTTTCTTGTACATTGAAAAAATTAGAAAAACCCCTGAATTGTTTTTATTTGTTAACACAATACATGAAAAACTATTATTTTTAAAATAATTTATTACCATTTAAAGATCTTTTATTGTTACTGTGAGATTTAATGTAAAAGATATAAGAAAATCAAATCAATTAATTTTTCTAGTTTCAGTAATAACGTAATTACAAGTACAACGATATCAAGTAGAATATTGTAAACCATGCTAGACAGACTCTTCCAAATTTCCGAAAATAATATTAATAGTCAGATTGTACTAAAAATCAAACTAATAGTAAATGGCTGCAATTATGTACTATATTAACTTACATTATCTTTCTAAACCACTTCACTAAACCACATTGGCCACAAGACATTTTGAAATTTTTTTTAAGTTTCAATCAAACCTCTCTTTGAATCAACTCAAAAAAGAATGAAACATTTCAGAAAAAATCTCCCTTTCAACAAAGGGTTTCGATCAACAATAATGTTTACTCGAGATTTACAATTTGTTTTAACCATTGTTAAAACAAATTGTATCATCATTGAAAATCAATTGTATCATTATTCAAATTGTATCATTGTGGACACTATAACCATTGTTTCAGTCATAGATCTTTTATTTAATTGTTGAGTTGCAAGTGTTGAAAAAATAATTCAATTAACACTAAAAGTGAACAAAAACTAGTTTTTTTTTAAAATGAAAATTGCGTTTATTTCTAAAGAATAAACAAGTGGGCAATATAATAATGGATGAATATTCATAGTACTTGTAAATTGAAAGAGTATTCAAAGTTGTATTTTTAGTGATAATTTATATTTATTAATTTTAAGTTGTTTTTAGTGATAATTTTAGATTTGAAAGAATAAAATAAATTTGAAAAATTAATGGTATTGATTCTCTATAAATTGGTGGGGAAGTTATGTTTCTTTAATATACAGACACATAAGGTTTTTAAAATATTCTTAAATATTAAAACTCTCTTTTTCATACTCGTCAATGTTTTAAGCATTACTCGCCAATATACTTGAAATTTCATGTATAAGAAATAATGAAAACAAAAATAACATTTAAACGCTTTTTTCACCAAAACTGGTGTAATGCTGTTGTTACACATCGATATAGTCATTTGTATATGCACAAATCTATACAGTTGTTTTTTTATTGCTCTGGAGGTGAGAGTAGTAAAAAGTACTAAGTTCGTAAATTAAATACATTTGATATGGAAAACCTCAACCTCCGAAACTTGGGTAGGAGGAGAATTTCTCATATGAGTTTAGTACACACTTTATGAACTCGGTAGATTAATGTGGTTGTCCGCAGTTATCTTTCTCGTGAAAATAATTTTTGAGTTGCTTTCTTTTATAACCTTCGTTGTACAGCCGACCCAATTTTGAGTTTACGACTACTAGTGTTCAAGCAACACCTCCTACATAAGAGCAGGCCTCTGCACGGGTTACCATAAATATCCTTTAGTAGTCCAAACGTAATGACATATTTTGTATTTTCAACCACTGCGCAGCTTAGTACCCCGAACGTCATGACATCTTTCTTATTTTTCATCAACTGTGCAGTTAACTTCGTCACATCGGACTACTAAATTGATCCGTGCTGAGGCCTTTCTACTTCTAGGAGGTGTTGGTTCAAGTCCGTATCCTTGCAATTTTGAACCTGTCCAGAAGACAAGAATACTCCTGGATCAATACCTCCAGAGGTATGATTTGTTATGGGAACATGCAGGACTTTGTGCCTCGACAGATTTAGCGTGCATCAGTAGCCATTTACTACACGGGAAGTCTTCGGCCGGCGGGGATTGAACCCACGAACTCTTATGCAGAGTCCCAGTGCCCTACCAACCAGGCTATTACGGCCCTTCTTGCAATTAATGAAAGGAGTTGGAGATCAAAGATAAATAGGAAGTTGATTGCTAATGTTAATTGTCTTGATTTCTAATGTTGGGTAAGTAGATTAAAGTAAACCATTATTAGAAGAAGAAAAAAATTGCATTTGTGTTTAATTTAGTGAATATGCGTGGAGTAAGTAGATTTGGAACGAAAACGGATGAAAAACGAAAACTTTTTCAGTAAGCATGAAATCCGATGAAATTTTCACAATTTCGGAGGGAAAACAGTTCGTCAAACAAACAGACAGATATATATTTCAAAAAGCGGAGACTGAAAAGTTTACTAAAAATAATAATAAATTCTCCGAAAATTTTCTCTACGGAGAAGAGTTGAGTTGTTTCCACACTTACGAACAAAGAAATACCTTCCCGTCCCCGTTGAGAAGGACTTCTTAGAACGTGAAAATGCGAAGGGCGAAAATGAAAAGGTAAAAAGCAGTCAGAGGAGAAGAGAAGAAAAAAAATATTCTAGAAAGATGGATTCTTTTTCTCGTTCGTGCAAAAGAGAGGAAGTATATTGAGAAAAAGGGGTTTGGGATCCTCTTCCGCGTGTGGAACGAAAAGGTGTGCGGAAACCCGAAAAAGTTTAGAAGGTGCTGCCATTCACGAAAATGAAAAAATAAATAAGTAAATAACGACGGAAATAAAAGAATAAGGAAATGGAAAAAAAAAGGATAGGAGAAGAACTCCTGGAGTTTATTTTATAATTTTATTCTGTTTACTTTCGAAAACTTGATTTCTCTCACAGGTCTACCAAACAAAACGTAGAAGGGGAAAAAAAAGCATTAACGTGAAATACCCGTTATTTAATGTAACGGTTACATTGTAATGGTTCTATTTATGTTTTTTTTTAAATATATATAACTAAAAAGATATGATGAAAAATACAGCGAAGAAAAAAGGAATAGGCTTTTTCAACAAATTTGATTTCTTCCACGAATAGCACGATTTTCGCCAATTTTTTTTCTTTTTATTTTATCATACCACTTGTCATTAAATGTCATAATGTTTTAGGTCGTTTAAAAAAGATTGTTTTGTTCTAGATTTTAACGAAACGTTCTAACGAATAAAAAAAAATATTGTATTTTTAGCATCATTTGAAGTTTTGAAGGAAGAAAGAGGCCGGGTTCGAAAGTTCGTGGGTTCGAACCCTGCCGGCCGAAGACTCCCCATGTAGTAAATGGTGACTGATGCTCGTTAAATCTGCCTTGTCGCAGAAGTCCTCCACGTTCCCATAACAAATCAACACCTCTGGGGGTACTGGATTGGAGATCGATCGTTCTCTAATTCAGGACAAAATTACGATCTGTGGATGAATGAATGGATGTATAAATGGGTCCCCCCTATGAGAGGGTATGACGCATAAGTGTAAGGCAGAAGTCGAATTCTTGGCCATAGATGGCGCCACTGGAAAACAAGAACAATCGCACCCCTCTGCCTTCACAGGCATACGAAGACAGAGAAGGGAGAAGGTTGTTGCTAATCCTCTTAATCTGACAGGTGTCAGATAAGCTCCAGGACTCCACTGACCTCAATAAAACCCACAACAAAAAGGGGATCTGGTATAAGATCCACCTTAGAAAGTCCAAGGCAAACCAGAATATGTTCCTGCGAAGCTGGTTGAACACAGCA